CACCTTGTTTGACTGAGACCAGACAGGACTGCAGCACAAAAACTATCAGGCACAATTGATCCTTGCTTTGGGAACATGAAATTTTAATGTATTCCAACCACACATACGACTCTGGACTGATGTCCAGCCTTTTAGCTGAAACCTGTGTCTACACCCAGTAACATGTTCATTTCTATGTTTCCAAAAGGATTTGAGAATGACTCTGTTTTAAGACCAGCAGCTGAATTTAGGCTGGCTCCAATAATGAGAACTCAGGATGCCTTAAAGAAAACAATTGTTAAACAATGTGAACATAGTAGAAAAGTATTATTCAGATCTCAAAGATGTGTATAATCATACTCTGCAATATTAGAATTATATACAGATATCTAAGAGGATTTGAATCAAATTGTCTATGCTCTCTATTTTAATATAATACTATATTAATTTGCCCACCTTGAAGTGTAATGGATAACTTGTTAATGTAAACTAATTTGTCCTCCATGCTGGTACACTAAAAAAGTAAACAAGCCAAGCCATTGTGGCATATGCTCCATTAGATACATGTGGGTGGAAAGGGAAAAATCAGATTGTGCCAACAGGAAAAGGACAGTACCAGCTGGGAAAGCAGCATTGCTCTCACACTGATAAGGAAATAAAGAGAATTAAAGCTAAAGGTCAACCTGCCTTTTCTTTAAAGATATTTGAAGAGTCTGTTTAGTCTTTGCTTTTTAAGTATTCAGATCAAATTTAGTTTTTTTAGATACAATGCAGAAAGCACTTATCTTGTACACACTGACTACAACATACTTTGTTTATAAATACTGCAACAAATCTAGGCATTTCATAAATAAACCTTTTTTTTAATTCATAAATAAAAAACAACATTCAAGTGTCACCTGTTTTGTCTTTCAATATTTTGTAGCTCCCTGTGGTCCCTTTTCAGGTGTTTGGTCAAAGACGTAAAGTATTCCTTCAACAAATTCTGGAAGGGCTGTTGTTTCTCTGGGCTAATTATCTCACTAGGAGGAAAGCTCAAATTAAACTTCTCTGCCACAGTTTTTACTCTCCTCGGTACCAACCCGGCAATGTCATCTCCACAGTGCCGGCAGAAGCTGATAACCACGGACACGTGAGTGTGGGATTCCCGGTCGGCATTAATAATGTTTTTAAGCTGCTCATAGATTAAAGACAGACCTTCCTTGTCAGTGAAAATCCCAACTATTGTCAGTTCTGCAATGAAACGCAGATCAGTTCTTAACTTGGTGATGTTGGGAGTCTTCTCTTCTTTCCTCGCCTCAAAATGTTTTTTCCAAGCCTGAAGTAAGGAAGGAGCAAAATCAGCGTATCGCTGGTGGAAGAGGGAGCACAAATGCACGGCGCAGTTCACATCCGAGATTTTCAGCTTGGCCTCCACAATAGAAGCTACTGCTTCTGCAATGTATTTGCTTAAATTCAGGCTATTAAAGTCATGGGACAAGGAGTCCCGTTGTTGCTCTGTGATGGTTTTTAGCTTCTTAACAAAAGCTGTGTTCTTCTTCAGGCTGGAGTCCAGCCTGCTGAAGAAGTTTTCCTCGGGACGGTTGTCCGGGGCGTTCTGGTTCTTGCTGCGGAGATCTTTCCTTGCCTGGTGGCGCTCCCAAGCCTCCTGATGGAGCTGATGTGCTTCCTCTTTCTCCCTAAGAGACATAAAAATTAGTCATTTTTGTTACAGGACAAAGTATTTTGTTGCTTGCAGGTTATCAGTTCAAAGGAAAAAAGGTCATAGCTGGAAAACCTTCAGCAGTTCTAAAAGTTTCCCTTTAATACTCTCTTCTTAAATATTTACCAAGTTAATCCTAGACAGCTGAATCATCTGCTTCATAAACTCTGTTTAATTTTTGTAATGCAAAAGGCAAGTACTACTTGTTGCAAAAAAAAAATAAATTCTTAAATACTTCTAGGCAGAACATATTAATCCAAACAGACTTCAAAAATATAAACATAGAACTCCATTTACTCCATCTGGAGATGGAGTTCTTACAAAAGAACACAAGAGCCTTTCAACATGTCACTGTATTATACAGTTAAGGGAAATCTTTTATTCCCAGACTACTGAAATTACACAGAAAATTTTAAATAGGTGAAATATATCTGTCCCAGCTAGAATTTGGCTATCACATTGCCTCAGTCTTAAAAGTGACGTATTACAGACATAAGAATATCCAGAATCTGAGCTTTATTGGTCTAAAGATGCCATTTCAACACAGTAGTACCCTTGGATAACATATTAAAAAACACTGTCTTGGTAATATCACATATTAAACTGCCAGGTTACATTCTGAGTTTGCCATCCAGGTATCAGTTGTCTGTGTTTGATTGAAAGAAATGACAGTCATTCCTCACAGCAGATTTGCTCCTGTTATGGTCTGTAGACCTGTTAAAGTATGTGTTCCAAAATTTATGGTGCTAACAGCTCTCCATCTTAAAAGAAACTGCTTCTGTATTGTGCTGGTTTGGGCTGGGACAGAATTAATTTTCTTCCCAGTGGCCTGATGGGTGGTTTGGATTTGTGCTGGAATCAGTGTGGATAACACTGGGATGTTTTCATTACTGCTGGGCAGGGCTTACACACAGTCAAGGCCTTTTCCTCACCCCACCCCACCTGCGAGGAGGCTGGGGGTGTGCAAGGAGTAGGGAGGGGACATAGCTGGGACAGATGAGCCCAACTGACCCCAGGGATATCCCAGACCATACAACTCAACATATAGATCTGGGGAAGAAGGAAGGGGAGGGATGTTCAGAGTGATGGAGTTTGTCTTCCCCAGTCACTGTGACATTTGATGGAGCCCTGCTGTCCTGGGGATGGCTGAACACCTGCCTGCCCAGGGGAAGTGGGGAATGAACTCCCTGTTTTGCTTTGCTTGAGCACACAGCTTTTCCTTTATCTATTGAACTGTCTTTATGTCAGCCCACAAGTTTTCTTACTTTAACTCTTCTGATTCCCTTCCCCATCCTGTTGAGGGGAGTGAGGGGCTGTGTGGGGCTGAGTTGCCAACTGGGGTTAAACCATGACATTTATTCAAGCATAACTGTGCATTACATGGTCATCACATGCAGAACACTATCAAAGCTCCATATTAGAGACTAAAATAACAGAGGTTACAAGTGAAAACTCAAAATTATGTAGAAGTCATAAAGCATACTCAGTCAGCCACATAAAACTTAAAACACTACAGGCAACTTCTTAAAAGTAACTCAAACAGTTTATCTTTTATAACTCTGCCCACAATCCTGGTAGCAGAACTACAGCATTTGGCACAATTAAACCATTAAAAGACCACTTACTTCAGTTGAGCAGCTGCTTCTTCTTGTTTCTTCTTCTCTTCCTCCTCCTGTTTCTTTTTCTCCTCTTCTTCAAGTTTCTTTTTTTCTTCTTCCTCTTTCTTCTTTTGTTCCTCTTCTGCCTTTACTTTATCCTCTTCTTTTTTCTTCCGCTCCTTGTCTTCCTTCTTTCTTTTATCCTCTTCCATTTTCTTCTTTTTATCTTCAGGAACCTTTAAAGTCTCTCTCTTCATGCCAACCTTGACATCTTCTTTTGGCTTGTCCCTGGTGCTCACTGGTCTCCTTTCACTAAATTCTTTATTATTTAGCTGAGATTCCTTTTCTTCCATATTTGGTGGCTTTTTGCGCTCAGCTGGCATCGTGTTACCCAGGCAAACCTGCAGAATCACAGGAAAAGAAGTACTTTTAAATTGCTGTTGATATTTTAGTCATTTTTCACAGCCTACCCATATTCAATTAACTCACAAATGCCTGACTCATCAGAATAAAGGTTTAAGTTTACTTGAACTACAGAATGGACCTAAAAGGTAAAAACTAACCATTTTGTAAGAGTGTTGTACTGCAAAGTTGTCTTCAGCATAAAGTAAAAGCATCTCAAGTTTCTACAACCCAAGAAATACAAGATCTTGGAATATATACTGAAGCCCATCTGAAAAAAACCCACAGAAACAACACAACTGATGAAAGCAAAGTATCCCCAACTTAAAAATAATTAAGTATTTGATTCATCAGCATGCACCTGCACCTCACTGACCTTTCTACACATCTCGTAAGAATACTCCCCCTTCCACTGCTTAGGATCCTAGGATAATGCAGGTTTGGTGGGACCAAGTAGTTGAACCTCCTGCTCAAAGCAGGGTCAGCAATGAGGTCAGACAGGACTGCTCCTTGAAAACTGCCAAGGAAGGAAACTGCACAACCCCTCCAGCCAACCTGCTCCAATGCCTGACTCTCCTCACTGTGAAGAGGCATCCTCTTGCTTCCTTCTTTCCTCAACCTTCCCAAGATTTCCCCAGCCATCTCCAGGACTCTTTTCCAACACTCAAGCTGCACAAGTAGCAGCTGCAGAGTGAGCTGTGCTGACTATGCTAGACACACAAACCTCCCTGTCAGCAGAACAAATGGAAATAATATCAGAAAGGCTGCAATTATCAAGAGTTATTCAAGGCTACAGTTCCTCTCTCCTTCTACTTAACCAACATTTTGTAGGAGCTTTAGCCTCTTCGGGGTTTCCAGCCCTCTAAGCTTTGGTTTCATTTGGCTGAGGATACAAGAGGTAACATATACTGAACACCAAAGGGTAAAAATCCCAGAATAATTTTGATCAGAAGGAAACTGTGGAGGGCACCTAGTTCAGCCTTCGTCCCTCTTCTCCAGGCAGGTCCAATAAGATCAAGAAATTGGCTACCTAAGGTTTTAGTATCTCCATTGATAGAGATGCAAGGGCCTCTTTTGGGCCCCTCTGTCAGCACCTGAATAACCACACTATGAAAAAGCTTTCCCTGGAATTTGCTATGTGCTATGCCTTATCCTGATTCTGCCTCTTTTCAGCCTATCCCTGTGCAGCTCTGAGAAGAAGCCAGCTCCATCTTCTCTATCCTCTCCTGTTAGACTGTTTTAAGACAATAATAAGATTTCCCCTTTTATTCACACAGATTAAGAAACCCTAGAGTTCCCTCTGTTTCTCTTAACCTATCATGTCCTCCAGCCTCCTGATGTTCTTGGTGGCACTCCAGTATGTCAGTGCCTTCCTTGGGAACAGAGAATCCAGACCTGGATGTGGTGTCCAGATGTGGTTTTGTAAGTACCAAATAGAGGGGGAAGACTCACCTTCTTCACCCTGATGGGTAACTCCTGGTACTACAGATGCAGCTGTCCCTAATGAAGGGCATTCTGCTGACTCATGGAAGGATCAGATGGGCCAAACAGGACCACAAGAGAAAATCAGAACCACCTGAGCTTTATTTACTTCATGCTACGTTGGTCTCTTAAAAGAAAAAATAGTTTTCACATGTTCACATGCTTCAAGTTAAATGCATATATGGGTGGGACTGATGGGACACCACTGCATGTGATCCCTTCTGAAGAACCATCACCGTTTTTATCAGTAACACCAGTTTGACTCCCAACTGACACCCCTATTTTTGCCTTTCTGACATTTAACTCTGACTGGATGATGAAAACGTGCTAAATTCACAGATTTCCTGCATCTACTCGGAGTGGATGATGAGACACTTGCATTCCAATCTAATGTAGGGTGCTTCTAGTATTATTTTTAACTATTGTGAAATATAAGTAAGACACCATACTAAAGAAAATCTCTGTTTCTAAGTAAGTATTTCACATTTCCTCCCCCACCTCCCAAACAATAAGATGACAGATTCACATACTGACTATCCCACCCATATGGAACTCTGTGTTACAATATTTAAGGTGCTCGTCCAGGTCTTCTAAAGAAAAAATGTTTGCAAAAGTTCACAGTGTATTCAGATATGGGCAGTGACAACTTACCAACTGGGAACCTGTTCAGGACTTCGCCTGTTTGACAGCAATTGGCAACAGCACCAAAGAAGAAATGTCTCTGACACTGATTTATGGAAATCAAATCAGCATTGCTTAAACAAGCATTAGCAAATTTGGCTCCCTAACGCATGTCCTACGACTAAAAGATTTCACATCTCAAGATCTTAGAACTACTTGGATTTCAAAAACACTGAACTACATCATCTTAAAACAGTATTATTGTGAAATCAGTACTTAACCTGAGAGAGAAGAGGTCAACAAAACCCAAACAACTAAACAGCCCCCTAAACCTCTTCATATTACAATCTGAACTAATTTTTCTATTTCTGCAGGCCAGTCAAGTGGGACCTGTTCCTCACAGCTCCACCTGGGAGATGAGAATCTTCTACACATCCTGTTTTAAAATCAACAATAACTATTTGAATTTTTTCTCACTATGAATCCACATTGGAATTTCCATCAGTTTGAGACAGCTAAATTATCCCTCCCACCATTTTTAACAAAAGGGGTTTGCAAGGAAAGCTTTCAGCATTTAAACATCAACATAATATCTCGCTAGTAGGTGAGACAGAACAATGCATGAGACTCTCCAATTAAATGAAAAAAAACAATAGAGTAACACATTCATTTTAAAAAGAGAAAGTGTTAGATTCCGAAAGCTACTAAATTGAGAGCTAAGTTTAAAAGGAAAACATTTCGAGAAAAAGGTTGTTTATGATTAAAGATATGCTGGAAAAGTACGTCAGAATTCCAATACTCCAGCTTTTATCTTTGCCCCCATCTATTGTCAGTAGGGTAATTCAATTACAGTTTGGGAAAAAACAAACAAAAAACCCAAAAAAGCCACCATGGAACAAAATATCCACCTACACGTGTAACTTTGAACAACAGGGTCACTCACCAAAATCATTATGGTATCAAGCTCTTATTAAATTTAGGAACTCAGAATTCTGTTTTAGAGATGTATGGGACGTTTGCTTGTATAAAAACAAAACAGAGAAGATGGGATAAAAAGTAAAGGGATGGAGCATAATCAGGCACATTATGATTTCGACCACAGGGCAGTTTATCCACTTTTTTCCCATGAACACTGGTGACCAAAAAATCTTGTTTACAGCAGATTCCTGTCCTGTATCCCAGCACAGGTGTGTTACAATACTCCTCACTGCCTGCTACATGTACAGCTCCTTATCTCCCCAACCTTTCCGATGGCTCTGCCAGCTCCTTTGTGCCTACACCAACCCCCGCGGGCAGGAGGAGGCGGAGCGGCCGCTGCCTCCGAGCCACACACACACTGAGCCCTGATCCACAGGCTGATCCAGCGTGGAGCCTCCTCTGACACACGGTGCAGAACTGCCCCAGAACTGTCCCGGGAGCGAGTCCATCGCCCTTCCCTGGGCAGGAATGGTGAGCCAGACCTCACTACTTTCCCTCAGCTGCCAGTGGAACGTTCAGACCTTCAGAACTTCTGCCTTGTTGGACTGAAACTGGCTGAAAGGCTCAAAAGATGTGGGAAGCAGGGACAAGTGGAAACAGAGAGGCAGCAGGCTCGCCTGGGTCTCACTTCCAGAGGGAATTAGGCTGAAGATACAGTTTGGTTCAAATTAAGGGGATGGTATGGAAACATTAAGAGAACTTCTATTCAATACCTCGTGTTTATAGGGAGGTACTGATGAGAAGGCACAATAATGACAGGAACTCCATGAGCCAACAGACAAACCAGCACTCACAGGTGAAAATTAGGAAGGACAGAGGAAAAAAAGAGACAAGACAAACATCCACATGCCTTTGGCAGCCTGTTTCTGTAGTGACACTCACATGCTTTAACATTCCTTAGTTTCAGTGCCTACAGACACTATTTTTTCAGAGAAAACTACTTCTATTAATTTTCCAATATTTGACACATCTTAACTCATTTGTGGTTAAGACATTTTTAGTGTACCTAAATTTCTACTTTTTTCTTTACTTCATACCATTCTTGGAATTTGAAAAAGTGATGGGACTGGGTTCATGATACTCAGGGCTCAGAAACTTAAGAAACAGGTCTTGAAATACAGAAGCAACATTTAAGGAAAAGCATCTATGTACTTACTCTCAAGGAAACCAGTCATATAAGGTATTCAGCATCGTTAACCCAGTCACAATTCAGAATAAAGGATAAACACCAACAATGTGGCCCTCAAATCAATCTTCTCAAGTCAATAAAAAGTCTGTTCTCACAGTCTGCATTAACATGATCCAGAATCTCAATCCTTGCAAACACACATATGGGGGGAAGAAATACAGCTCTATTAAACTAAACATATTGAGATTTTTCATGTTCTCCTTTTACTGCCACTGGAAATAAAATTGATCACATAAACGGTCCTTTCTGCAGCTATTCTACTACAAAAGAAATGAGGGGATATGAGGCAAGATGTCCCCACTTCTAACTGGCTGAAAAATCTGGCAGAGCAACAAACTCCTCCATCACTGGTTATCACACCACTTGAAAGCTAAAAGTTTCAAGGAATGAAATATAACCAGGGTTCTCTTAAAGCAAGGGAAGGTGCGTTAGAAAAATGGGGAAGATGCATTAGAAAAATGGGGAAGGTGCAGAAAAATGCCCTGGTCAACGAGGAGAAAATAAACTCAGCCATAAGTTTTGGAAGATGAGACAAGGAGCAGAGCAGGAAACCACAGTGCAGAGAGAGGAGCACCCCATGCACTGCCAGGGAAGGTTCACAGAACCACGGAATACTCCGAGTTGGAAGGGACCCACAAGGATCATCAGTTCAGATCCTGGCCCTGCACAGGACAGCCCAAAGAATCTCACCATGTGCCCGAGAGCATTGTGCAAACACTTCTTGAGCTCTGTCAGGCTTAGTGCTGTGACCACTTCCCTGGGGAGCCTGTTCAAGTGCCCAACTACCCTCTGGGCGAACAACCTTTTCCCGATATCCTCTCTGACACAACTCCACGGCACTGACCCATCCTCAGCCCGGCCTGGCGAACAGCCGGGCGCTTTTACTTTCACTTCCACACGTCTCGGGACTCAGCGTTTCGCTGTCAGACCCGCGGGGACGCGCCTTCCACCGGCAAACGGCGGCCACAGACGGGGCACTGAACGGCCCCGCTCGCTCCCGCACACCCCAACGCCTGCTCCCAGCCGTCCCACCGCCCTTCCCGGCTGGCAGCAGCAGCATGCCCTGCCCTCTCCCCGCGCCCTCAGGCACCGCCGCCCGAGCCCTCCCCGCCTCGACTCCCCCCTCCGGCCCCGGGGAACCCCCGGGACCCCCCTCCCCGCGGCCCCACCAGGCCCCTGCGCCGTCCCAACGCCTCCCCAGGGCCACGCTCCTCACACACACCGCGGGGCCGCCCTGCCCTCGTCCCCCTCGCCCACGGCTCCCCCCGTACCTGTGCCCGGTGCCGACATGGGCCCGCCCGGCCCGGTCACCGCCTCCACCTCCCCCGCCCCGCCGAGGCCCCCGCCCGCTGCTCCCTTCAGGGCTGGGGGCCGCCAGCGGCGCCGCCTGATCCCCGGCGCCGCACCGGCCGAGCCCGCGCAGCACCGGCCGAGCCCGCCGCGCTGCGCCCGGGCGAGAAGGGAAGGGCGGCGCCGCTGAAGCGCGGCGCGGCCGCGGCTGCGGGCGGGGCGGAGCGGCGCTTCGCGAGCGGCGGCGGTCAGGCGGCGCGCGGGGCAGCCCCGCGCGGGGGCCTGGCGGCGGGCGGGTTACCGGGACCTGCGGAGGCGGAAGTGGCGGAGAAGGGGAAGAGGAACGGGAATGGGGCGGGAAAGGGGCGGGGAAAAGGTAAAGGAACGGGAAGAGGTGCGGCTCCGCGTCCGCCGCGGCGGGAAAGGGGAGAATGGGTTCAGAATGCCGCTTGTTTGGCGGCCCCAGCGCGCGGCTCGGCCGGTGGCCGCGCCTGACGTCACCGCCGTGACGTGTCTGTCCCACACCGGCCGGGGGGGGACACTCGGGTGTCACCGCTCAAAACACCGCGGGGAGCGGCGGGTTAACAACGAGTGATACCGGGATTGGGGGTTAACGGGTGTCCGCGGCTGTGCCCCGGTCTGAGGTCATCAGCGCAATAAACAAGGAGTTGCTGGAGAGGGTCCAGCGGAGGGCACAGAGACGAGGAGGGGTCTGGAGCATCTCCCATGTGAGGAGACACTGCTGGAGCTGGGCCTGGTTAGTCTGGAGAAGAGAACACTGAAAGGGGATCTCATCAATACACATAAATATCTCCAAGTCGTATGCCAGGAGGATGGTGCCAGACTCTCTTTGGTGTCAGGACGAGGAGCAATGGCCATAAACTAAAACACAAGGAGTTTCACCTCAACATTAGGAAGAACTTCTGTCCATGGAGGGTGGCAGAGCACTGGAACAGGCTGCCCAGGGAGGGCGTGGAGTCTCCCTCTCTGGAGACATTCCAAACCCATCTGGATGCATTCCCATGTCACCTGCTCCAGATGACCCTGCCTTGGCAAGGAGGTTGGACTGGATGATCTCCAGAGGTCCCTTCTCACCCTAACGACACTGTGATTCTGTCAGAGTGTCTTTTCTAGTCTAAATCATGTCTTTGCACTTTGCCCCCCCTGCTAAGGCGCTGTTCCCACCTGGACATCCAGAAGGCATTTTGCAGTGGTGAGTTTAGTGGCACAGAATTCCCCAATTTATTTGAAATGTTCCCTGTCTGCATGTCTGGGCGTGGCATTGCCTCTGGAGCAACTCTAAAGCTGCCCAAGCTGGGAAAAGCTGGCACAGCCCAGAGCTGGAGAGTGAGGATCTGGTGTTTATTTTACATTTAGAATCCAGGCTCTGACAGAAGCTTTTTCTTCAGGTTGGGAAAGCATTTAAACCCCTCTAGGCTTAGAACAAGCCCTCAGCAATATTGGACTGTGACACTAGGCACAGGCCTGATGTGCATAATGAGATTATTCAGCTGTTAAAGCCACCTTTTATTCAGAGGCAAGAGCCAGCCCCAATAGGAGACTCTGTTTACTGATGCAGAGTTTTAGGTGTGCTCTGCCAGGACTAGACAGGACTAGACAGGTTGTTTTTTTCTCCTCCCTGCTATTTAACTTCACTGCTCATTTTGCAGACATATCTGAAAATCTCTTTCTGGACAATTTCGAAAGGACAAAGTCGTGCTTGTTATTGACACAGATCATTCACATGTCCCTGCTACACAAAGATTTCATTTACTTGCCAAAATATCTTGAGTTACCAAGTTGATTAAACTGATTCACTGGAGCGGAGAAGATCCATGGCCTGGACACGGTAAAATCCATTTTAGTGTTGGCACTGAATTTTTCAAAGGCACCAACTAATACTTTGGCCTGTCAATGAATGCCTTTGGATTACTCATTTTTGGGTCTGCTTGAAAAGGCAGGCTCAGTGTTACATCAGGCTTAAGTTGGCAGTGGCATTACGCCAGGAGATGTTGGCTTATTTTCTTTTGAAGCATGATGTCACTGCCCTTTCTAACATGAATAAAGTGCACTATCACCACAGTTTTGAAAGGAAACAACAGGTCCTTGTGTGTTTATACCACACACTTCCACACCTTTGACTGTGTTGGAACTATCTCTTGTAAAGGCCACACGATTAGATCTGGTTTTACCTTTGACAGCTCAGAAAGCTTTTGTTTCTAAAGCATCTGTTTCATTTGTGCACACACTGATCAAGCTTTTCTACTGATTTACCAAAACCGCATAGATCTTGCTTCCTGAGTCTCAGATATAAAGCAGGGTTTTTTTTAATTCCTGAAGCTCTTCTTCCCAAGTTTTTCTATGTTTCCTCAATTACTGTCACGCAATTTGCACACAGGATTCAAATTGTGCCAAGTACTGGCCTAATGCAGAATCTGTAGGTGCACTCACTATTTCCTTGTAGCCAAATCCAGGAAATCATCCTTTTTTGCCAAGTGAGCAGATATATATATAACTTTTTTAGACTCATCTGGCTTTTTTTCTCATGAGTTTTGTAGATTATTTATGGTCCCTGTTTCCTGGAAAGGAACTGCATTTCGGTGCACATACTCTTTCAAGGTGTACAAGCTTTCATCTTATCCAGTTACAATAAATCACATTTGCTTATCTCCATCCTGACACTCAGATCCAAGGTAACCTCTCTTCACCACACACCTCCAGCTGACAGTCTTCCTCAGGACTCCAGTTGTGGGCAGTTTTTTTGGGTTGATATAACTCCTAAAGTGGCAAGGGCTATAGTGCCTTTAGAAATATTCCAAAATGATTATGGTTTTCTATTTAAAATACTGCAAGTTTAGATTTGCTAGGTAGTCAGACACACACTATTTGTTATATACAACCTTGGTTTGAAACATTTCTTGTTTTTTTGGTGAGAACATCAGGTAGTACTGAATCAGCCTCACACAGGAGCCTTCTCCAGGACAGGCTCTCTGTGCCAGGAGAGCCAGGCCAGGAGAGTCCCCTTGGATACATCCTCAGGAGCAGTGTTTGTGCTGGCACAGGTACCACTTCCTCACATTTAGATATGAGCCAAAGTCAACAAAACCTTTTATTGACCCAGATACAGCTCCAGCGAGGCTTTTGCCATGTGTAATCATGTCCTACACAAGATGAGTAGGCTGGCAAACCCGCAAAGGACTTTAAATCTTTATTAACTGGATTTTGAATCACAGGAAAAACCCAGCAAGTTGACTTGATGAGAAATATATTCCATAAACCCCTGCTTAGACTTGATTGAACCAGTAAGTGAACTCGTATATACAAATATTTAATTAGTTCTCCAAGACCCACATTGTGTGGCTGAACCATGTCATTGGAAAAAATGGACAATTTTTCATATTCAAAGCTATTCCTATCAGTGCTACTTGGGAAACATTCAACTAAGTGCCTGTCTGATTTAAAGCAAAACCACATTGATATCTGCTATTTGACTGGTATTTGCTTAAGAACTGTGGAAAAGTATTTCATCATCATGCAGTGTGCCTGCAACATTTGTCTTTTTCCCCAAGCACAGAATGGAAATGTTTAACTATATCAACCCTTTATGTCTCTCTACTGTCAACTTCACTAAATCAAAGTTCCTTTGTTCTAATTGAAAAAAAATTAATATTCAATTTCTGCTACACTTCACTGCATTGGCCACATGACCACTGTCATATAGTTGTATCCTTTTGCCTTCTTTGCAACATTCAATTTTATTTATTCACTCTGTGCCAGTGCTTGGTCATCCACAGTGAAAAAAATTGTTTCCTGATGTTCAGAGGGAATCTCCTGTGCCTATTGCCTCTGGTCCTGTCACTGGGCACCCCTGAACAGAGCCTGGCTCTGTCCTCTCTGCACCTTCCCTTAGGTATTTACACGCATCGATAAGATCTTCCTGAGCTTTTTCTTTTCCAGGCTGAACAGTCCCAGTTCTCTCAGCCCTTCCTCATCTGTGAGGTGCTCCAGTCTCTTCATCATCTTCATGGCCCTTCACTGCACTTTCCCCAATATGTCCATGTCTGCTTTGTACTGGTGAGCCCAGAACTGGACACAGTGCTCCAGGTGTGGCCTCACCACTGCTGAGTAGAGGGGACCTGCTGGCAATCACAGAATGGTTTGGGTTGGAAGGGACCTTAAAGATCATCCCATTCCAACTCCTCTGCCATGCACAGGAACACCTTGCGCTAATTCAGAGCTCCATCCAGCTCAGAGCTCCACCCAGCCTGCCCTTGAACAATTCCAGGGATGGGGCATCCACAACTTCTCTAGGCAACCTGTGCCAGTCCCTCACCACCCTCACAGCAAAGAACTTCCTCCTAATATCTAATCCAAACCTATTCTCCTTTAGTTTGGATCCATTTACCCTTGTCCTGTCACTACATGCTCTTGTAAGAAGTCTTTCTTGTAGGCTCCCTTCAGGTACTGGAAGGCCACAATTAGGTCACTCCAAAGATTTCTCTTTTCCAGGCTGAACAATCCCAGTTCCCTCAGCCCTTCCTTGTAGGGAAGGTGCTCCATCCCTCTAATCATCTTGGTGGCTTCCTCTAGACTCACTTCAACAGCTCTATGTCTTTCCTGCGTGGGGAACCGCAGACTTGGATGCAGTACTCCAGGTGGGGTCTCATGAGACCATAGCAGAGAGGCAGAATCACCTCCCCCAACCTGCTGGTGGTTCACA